CTCGGGGCGTTGCTGGTCCCGTCCAGCCCGGGCTGGGTCAGAACTCCGGGCGCCTGCCTTCATCGTTGTCTCGCTTGCTGTACTGTGTGCTGTCCGTGTAACTCGTTTTTTTTTTTTGTTGTCTGCCTCAATCTGTGGCCAGGGATGGAGAGCTGCCCTGCTCCCAGACCTTCAATGTGAAACTCGTCTCTTTCGGGCACCTGTGCGCGGTGTGTGAGGCCCCTGCTGAGCTCCTGCCCACGAACGCAGCTGCCATTTTAACCCTCCCCATTGCCTTGCCCTGCACAGCGCTCCAAACAGTTTGTCTCCGTTTTTTATTTCACCTATAGGCTTTCCTTAGCCCCTCTGTTTTCTTTCCTTCCTTTCTGTTCCTGCTTTCAGCATCCCAGAGTCCCTTCTGTGTTCTCACTCTTCACCCCATCCTACACGTAACCCCTGTGCCTCCCATTCTTTCCCCAGCTTTCCAAGTGCCTCTGCTTGCTCACATTTAAATCCTAGACGTGAAACAGAGAAGTGAGGGGGAAGAGCAGTCACCATCTTCCCTGACAGGTTTCAGTCTCGTCAGGGCTGGGGACAGCCCTTTTTCCAGGGGTGCCTTTGCTGTCCCCATCGATGGCAGAGCAGACCTTGTGGCTGAGGGCAGTTTGAGGCTTCAGTTCCATTTTAAATAACAGGAATCAGGAATTTTGATTATGGTTCAAACATGGAAGTTAAGACTACAGAAATATTTCGTTTGTGCCCAATATGACAGAGTTAAAGATGAAAGTTGGCCCTTTTGGTATTAAGGGTAATTCCAAAGAGACAGACTGTCTATTTTACCTAATCTTTCTAGGAGGGAGATGGGACTAAAGCTGCTGTTTTTATTTCCTTCTCTGCCTTCACGTTCTTTCTGTGGCCCTTGCAGTAGCTTTCTGTTAGCCTTTCCTCTAGTCACTGATACATCTACCAGGATAATTCTCAGTCACTGTGGAGGAAAATCTGCTATGCTTTTTGCATGTTGTTCCTGTTGAAATTGTCACAGTCTGTCCTTTTAGGTTTTACTTTTCCTTATGATCATTTCCAATGAATCATAGCAGATCCAGTTATAGAGATGATACTTCCATGTTTGCTAAAAATAAAATAACCCTACATTTTGGAACAAAATATTTGCCCTTTAAGAGCCATATCCCAAATCAGTGATAATGCTGTGGATGGGGTCCTAAAATTAACACCTTAGGTGAATAATTTTTCTATTAGCCTTATCTCTTCTGCAAATTCTAAGTTGACATTTTAAAATGATCCCTTAGCCAAATAGAAAAGTACTTTTGGTAAGTCAGCATATGGTAAAGAATATCCTAGAATCACTTCACAAATATGCCAAGCTTGTGTTCTGCAACTGTTAGGCAGGTTTTTTCTTCTGATTTTTTTTATGGGAAGAAAATCTGTTAATATACAAAGGTACTTGAAAGATAAAGTGAAAATCCAGTGGATTTAACCAGCTTATAGTATTTTCTTTACCTTAAGGATATCCCCATGTGTTAAATTAATGGCAATAAAATTACTCAGGATGTTAATATCAGGGTGGAGGAAATTTGTCAGGAGATAGTAGCTTTTTATTTTAGCAGCAATGCAGGTCGTACTGAAAGGTTATCTTTCAGCCTTCTGTGGATGCTTAAAGCTTGTTTTCGTATGGTCAGTGGAAAAAATATGGAGGTTTACCTTGTGAATTGTGTTATTGTGTGTAAATTAATGAGCTGTTGTTGCTTCTAAATAATTGTCATGCTGTGGTCTTGGCAGTCATGTGAATGAGTTTGTGTATTTGTGTGCTGTCTGTCCCCTAGGACACTTGTAAGAATAATATGATTTTTGTCAGGGACGAAAACTGTAAATACAGAATTTTTTTTTTTAAATTATTTTAGGAGAGAAGGGGTCGCATCTGTGACAGCTAGAATGTGCCAGCCATTTTGAGAGAAACACACACGCGTTCGTGCGCGGCAGAAGTGGTTCTGTTTTATAAGGATTGCAGTCTCTGTCATACTGGACACGTGCTTGACATGTGAATAGTAATCAGCAGTGCTGCACTAGCTGTGGGGCTTGTTATTAATTTCTCCATTTCATTAGGATATATATAAGTATCAACTGTGTATGCTGGACTTCCCAGGTAATAGTGAGCTATGAATTTACAGGATGTCTTTAAAGAAAGAAACAGGTGAGGATGTCTATCATCCTGATCTGTGTTTATTTGAAATACTGAGAATCAAAATTAGCTAAGAAGACCAACTTTGCTTTACATTCTGGCAAGGTTTGGGCCATAATTTAAAATCCTTGGTTTGGGTTGGGCCCAAGAGGGATGAACACACAAAACATGAGAAGATGTGTTTTCTTTATGGTTATATTAGCGGAAATATCTCCTATGTTTCTAGATATCTTGTTAAATTACTTAATATCAGACATCAGTTAAACTCTGCATGATTATGTGGAAGATAGGCCACTGGGAAAAAAACAAATAATATTTCTTCACACAAATGAAAGCGGACTATGTGAGACATAGCTGAGCAGTACTACTAGTAAAAGATTCAAACCTTCTGTAGTTATCATCTGGTAGTTTTCATGTATTAAACAAAGAATGCACATAATGAGAAACAGACATAATTTCAATATAGGGCCTAGTAGTTCTCCTGCCTGCAAGTTTGCAAATTCTTTTCCTAAAGAGGCAAGTGTATAGTACAAAAAGTGAGGCAATATTTCAAGTTTTCTAGAAGCACAGTACAAGCATGGAATTATCACAGTGGCTTTCTGAGCTACCATAAAGAAACTCTCTCTCCTTGTTGAAATTGAGGTGGAAAAAACATGAAGTATTCTTTCAGGGCAGCGTGAATCCCACCAATTATTCTAGGTTTAGAACCAGTAATTTTGACAGCCTTCAAGTGACAGAATGGTATCTGGTGGATCAAATTGTTAGCACCCCTGGATGCCTGCCCCTCTGCTGAGACATTGCAACCGTGAAGGCAGAGGTGTCTGATTCACTGCTGAATTGATTCCAAAACCACTGCAGTTTTCAGCCAGTATATTACAGTCAGTTGAAATTAATATCTTGTTAATAAATTTGGTTAAGTGTGGTGTGGATTCAGGAGTGCACTGATAACCAGATGAGGTGTCCTTGCCTTGAAAGTGGCAATAGTCATCAGAGAGAAAACTGGGTGGGAGAGGATAGGAACAGCTTCAGCTGTTAAGTTTTAATCTGCTGCTGAGTCTGCCAGAGACCCTGTTCTCAACTCTTTGTCTAAGACGTTAAACTAGGTACTAAAACGTTGTTCTATTAAACCGGTGCCCTAGTTCAATGCATTCAGGGCAGGCAAGTGCCTCTGTAAAGTGGACATCATCTAAAAGGAACCACCTGCATTTCTGGAGTAATTAATTAAGAAAGTTAAAAGCCATCAGGTGTTCTGTAACAGTTGAACGGGTTTGAGCTGCAGCTTGCTGGTGGAAAAAGAATGTAGGTTTGAAATGTTTCAAACTGGATGAATACATTAAGCACAACGAATCTGGATGGGATAAACAAAATACAAGTAAGTTAAATTATGAACACATTTTGAAAGTGGCATAAGACTCAGGCTGTGAGAATGAAAACCAAATAATGGAGTTTTCTATATTTTTAACCTAATTTTTTCTCTGTGCTTTAAGATGAGTCTGCAAAACACTTTTCATGAATTGGAATCATAAAAAAAGATAAAGCAATCCCATTCCCCTGTGTTCAAAAGATTTCCATGCTGATGGCAATAGGGACAGAGTTGGTTCTTCAGTTAGTTCTAGATAGGGATGTATTCTTGCCTCACCATGAAGGACATGATGCTTCAATAGTTTTTTTCAGCTGTGATAGCTTTGATTCTGAAGTATGCCAGCTTCTACTTGGATGCTCGGTATGTGCAATGTATCCCTGTGCATCAGTAGGTTATTTCACAGAGACCAGCCAACTAATTATGTTAATTATGTTCATGATCCTGAACTGCTGAAATGAGTTTTGATCTGAGTAGGGTATAGAACTGAGCCCTTTCTCATGTGGCTGTCCAGGTGGAAAATGCAAGTGATACACTTTTCTGCAACTGCCCTGCAACTGCAGTTCTCATTTTTTAAGTGGTTGAGTGGGTCTTTCTATGTGGAATCAGAACAACCTGTGTGTGTTCTCCTTGCTTACTCGTGTGTTTCTGGTGGCTTCATTCACTTAACCTTAATAATGTGAGAAAGATTTGATTCTGTATTGATTCTGTGTTATATAGAATGTAAATTTGTGATCTAGGTCTGAACTAACACAGCTGTGGAGCAATGGATTGTTCATACCCTCTTTGCTTATTGCTTATCAGGTTTACTAGAAAGCAGTACAAGGCTAAAACCTCATGAAGCTCAAAGCTACAGAAAGAAGGCATTGTGGGTTTCCTGGGTCTCCATTATTGTCACACTGGCTCTTGCAGTGGCTGCATTCAGTGAGTATTGGGAATATTTTAAATCTACACACTACTTTTTTCTTTTTCTTTTGGGCTTTCAGAATTTCTCTCTCTATGGAAGCTTTATCATGTTTTTCTTCATAACTGCTTTAAGAGGCTTCTTTCTAGGTTGCCTGTGTCTGCATGGTGCTTATAAATTAGTAAAACTGTTGGGTTTTTTCTGCAGAGGGTAATGTAGTTGAAGGTCAGAGAAAGAAACAAGAG